GCGAGTGTCTAATCAAGGGTGAACTCTACAAAGGAAAGGGCAGGGTTCCTCCTGCCTTGTCTGGTCTCCCTTTGTGGCTGTTACTTTAATTCAAAGTGTTTTGGAAAATGACCCAAGGGTTTCACCAATGACCCCTGAACCCTGTCTGTCCAACCATTTGAGATAATCCTCAGCCTCAGATGTGCAAGTCTGACTTCAGAGGGGATGCCCGTCACCTGCTCCACGGGCACTGGAAACGGCTCCTCTGTCCTGGGTTGGTAGGGGTCAGAACAGCAACAGTAAGAATGGAGCATGCTGCGGGTGCGCAGTGCGGGTGAGCACCAGGAGAGCCAGCTTGTGTTCTGGGCACGGACGCCTGTGTCCTGGGAAGAGCTTGAATCCTTAGGGAAACGTCAGACACGTCTCTGCAGATTGCTGTCAGGGCTCGTGCTTAGGATGAAGGTGGCATCTGGTTTTCCGGGCACCTTCCTGGTTTCAGCATTTCATCCCAAGGAGATGCCTTAGTCCCCGGCAAATGGGGACAGCTGGTCAAATTAGATCAAATGGTGATGTTTACTACCTTTATTTTACAGACAGAGGACTGATCTTTTGAGATGCAAAACACTCAGCCACATAGAGTCTGATTCCAAGCCCAACCTTCTCTTTCATTCCTCATGTTGCATGCTCCAGGCTTATTTCAATACACAGACACAGCGATCCGTCTGGGAAAGTTAGCTGTATGTTATGAGATAGACTTGTGCCACCTCATGGTTTAATTAAAGATCAAAGGTTATAGACCTGTGCCTTGGCTTCCTCATCTTCAAACTAAAGGTAATAATAGTAGCCTTATGATAGATTCCTTTGAGGAATAAATTATGTAATTTATATAAAACACTTAGAAATGAATTTTGCATGTAGTAAATTTACACAGAGAATAAGTAAATGAAAGAATAATCAACATAAATAAGGATAATAATAAGTAAATTAATGCCTATAGAATAAGATGAAGACTGTTAACATGGTAGAATTCCCAAATTACTAGAAGAGATCATTAGAATCAATATCCACTACTGAATAACCTTTCCTTGAAGAGTGACAATCACGTTTTCAAGATTTTTAATAAGGAATTGAGATCGCATCTTACAAAACACAGAACAAAACAAACCTCTATATTTTTGCATGGAATCCACCTCTTCCGTTGTTCAACAGGAATCTTTGCTTTAGGGAGATGGAAGA